TTTAAATTTATTTAAATTTATTTAAATTTATTTAAATTTATTTAAATTTATTTAAATTTATTTAAATTTATTTAAATTTATTTAAATTTATTTAAATTTATTTAAATTTATTTAAATTTATTTAAATTTATTTAAATTTATTTAAATTTATTTAAATTTATTTAAATTTATTTAAATTTATTTAAATTTATTTAAATTTATTTAAATTTATTTAAATTTATTTAAATTTATTTAAATTTATTTAAATTTATTTAAATTTATTTAAATTTATTTAAATTTATTTAAATTTATTTAAATTTATTTAAATTTATTTAAATTTATTTAAATTTATTTAAATTTATTTAAATTTATTTAAATTTATTTAAATTTATTTAAATTTATTTAAATTTATTTAAATTTATTTAAATTTATTTAAATTTATTTAAATTTATTTAAATTTTTTTAAATTTATTTAAATTTATTTAAATTTATTTAAATTTATTTAAATTTATTTAAATTTATTTAAATTTATTTAAATTTATTTAAATTTATTTAAATTTATTTAAATTTATTTAAATTTATTTAAATTTATTTAAATTTATTTAAATTTATTTAAATTTATTTAAATTTATTTAAATTTATTTAAATTTACTTAAATTTATTTAAATTTATTTAAATTTATTTAAATGTATTTAAATTTATTTAAATTTATTTAAATTTATTTAAATTTATTTAAATTTATTTAAATTTATTTAAATTTATTTAAATTTATTTAAATTTATTTAAATTTATTTAAATTTATTTAAATTTATTTAAATTTATTTAAATTTATTTAAATTTATTTAAATTTATTTAAATTTATTTAAATTTATATAAATTTATTTAAATTTATTTAAATTTATTTAAATTTATTTAAATTTATTTAAATTTATTTAAATTTATTTAAATTTATTTAAATTTATTTAAATATATTTAAATTTATTTAAATATATTTAAATTTATTTTAATTTATTTAAATTTATTTTAATTTATTTTAATTTATTTTAATTTATTTTAATTTATTTTAATTTATTTTAATTTATTTTAATTTATTTTAATTTATTTTAATTTATTTTAATTTATTTTAATTTATTTTAATTTATTTTAATTTATTTTAATTTATTTTAATTTATTTTAATTTATTTTAATTTATTTTAATTTATTTTAATTTATTTTAATTTATTTTAATTTATTTTAATTTATTTTAATTTATTTTAATTTATTTTAATTTATTTTAATTTATTTTAATTTATTTTAATTAATTTTAATTTATTTTAATTTATTTTAATTTATTTTAATTTATTTTAATTTATTTTAATTTATTTTAATTTATTTTAATTTATTTTAATTTATTTTAATTTATTTTAATTTATTTTAATTTATTTTAATTTATTTTAATTTATTTTAATTTATTTTAATTTATTTTAATTTATTTTAATTTATTTTAATTTATTTTAATTTATTTTAATTTATTTTAATTTATTTTAATTTATTTTAATTTATTTTAGTTTATTTCATTTTAATTTACTTTAATTTTAAATTATTTTAATCTATTATAATTTATTTTAATTTATTATAATTTATTTTATTTTATTTAAATTTTTTTAATTAATTTATTTTAATTTATTATAATTTATTTTATTTTTTTTAATTATTTTATTTTAATTTAATTTATTTTAATATAAATTACAGTCATCGTCCACTCACCCATTGTTGATACACCTTGTAATAATATAGCTGCATATATATTTATTAGTCACAGAGAGTAAATGCATTTAAAAAACTTATTGGCTCTATGCGAAACCCAACAAAAAATTTTGGCAGTTAATGTGTTAACATAAAATAGATCTTAAAATGAGAATCCAAATATATCTAAAATAAATTTTTTGGATGTCACATAACCTAGTGTGTAAAGTTCTAATATACTCTATGGTGGATGTCATATAGTCGGGTGAGTAAGTTTTAATATACTGAATGTTGGATGTCAGAGAGTCGAGTGAGTAAATTCTAATATACTTAATGGTGGATGCCAGACAGTCGAGGGACTGAAATATTTAATATACAAAATATACAAAACCAACTGACGCGAGCGCCACCTTCGCAGCTATACACTGGAACTAAATATATACATAAAATTGAAAATAAAGCATTATGACATCCAGCTGAAATTTTTTTGGCTCCCTTTTAAACCTCCTTTATGATGTTTGAACCCCAAAAACGTTGTGACATCCGAATTTGGATGTCACATCGCAGACGGATGTTAGAAAGATAGCAACATTTTTGCGACATGATGTCACAAAGTCGGCAGGACGAATCTATATATATATATATATATATCTCTCTCTCTCTCTCTCTCTCTCTCTCTCTCCCGGTTTACCTGCAGTTCCTCGAAACTAGCCAGCCTTACCCAAGAAACCCTAATTGGGTTCGGCCAACATTAAAAGACATTATAAAGCTTAAATTACTATTTGATTGGTACTTAAATCATAAAAGTTTACACGCACCTATCATTTCGGAAATCCCTAAGTAAGATAATTAGTTTGGATATAACCTACAGGATTGTTTTCTTGACCGCCAAACATAATAATAATAATAATAATAATAATAATGTTTATTTCAAATTTATGTAACAATGTACAAATTGATACAATAATAATAATTAAATAAATAAACATTTGGATCCTGCTGAGACATTGTTCATGTCTGTGTACAGGAATTAAAAATACAAATTTATATAATAATTTCTAAATGGTAATAGTGAATGGTAAAAATAAAAATTATACCTAAATATATAGACTTCTTTTTGTGTACAAATTTTCTTTTAATCTTCAACCTCAGATTCGTCACTGCTGCTACCGCTATCATCAAAGTTAATTATGATTGGTTCAATATTGTGTTCAATACGGTTGTCTACGTCCCACATTTTTTGCTCTTCTTTTAAAACATGCTGAATGCATTTCATCCAGTCTTCTGCAGAAACATTTTGAATGGCTTCTTGTAGGTAACGTTGCACGTCCACTAATTTAAATGTTCTGTTTTCTCGTGCCACATATCCTTTTACTTGCGCCCAGATTAATTCTATTGGGTTTAATTCGCAGTGGTACGGTAGTAACCTTAATACTGTAATTCCACGACTTAACGCCATTTCATCCACTGCGAATTTTTTATATTTGTCTTTGTGTAATTTTGTTAACTGAAGTAGTTCTGCCTTTAAACTATCTTTTTTATATTGGATGTTTTTGGATGATTGTTTCGGTAATGATTCTAAATACCGACTATGATATGGTACATTGTCCATGAAGACGACAGACCCAGGTTCCACAAGTTGAATGATGCCTTCAAACCATTTTTCAAACACCTCCGCATTCATCTCTTCATGATAGTCGCCTGTTTTCTTGGATTTAAATATTAATTCACCATTTGGTAAAAATCCACTGTCGCTTCATATATGCGTAACTATCAGACGACTACCTTTTCCAGACGGCTGTTTTAACCCAGTTGACAAGCCTTCAATAAAGGCTTGTCGTGCACTTGTTATATGACCATCCTGCCATACTTTTTTGACCGTATGTCCTTGGTTAACCCACGTCTCATCCATGTAGTAATTTTTTTTTTTTGATATTCCGAAATTCCTCAATTTTTCGGAGATAATTTCTTCTCCATACTATTATTTCCTGACGTTCAATGAGAATGCTTTTCCTGTCGACTTTTCCGTACGTAAATTTCATTTCGTGTAAAATTTTCCTCAAAGTTTCTTTACTCATTTGTGGGACCAATTCATGATCGCTAACTGCCTCCAGAACTTTTTGCAAAGTGGGCAGCTCATTTCTGAAAAAGAAACTGTGAATAGTTGTGCGTATACTGTTTTTGGCTTCTTCATCAACTGTGATTTTTTTTCTTCCGCTACTAGTTTTTGGCGTTTGTACTTTCCCATGAATTTTGTTTTCTCTTAGTATTTTGTAAACTGATGATTTTGGTACACCCGTATAATCAGAGCACATATCAACTAATTTATCTTTTGTAATTGTGGAAGTTAATGATGTTGGAACGCCCGGTTGGTTATTCGGAGGTACATCCGTAGAATTACAGCACATATGCACTAAGTTATCTTTTGGTCGCTAATGATCTCTTTCAAGACAGTGAAATACTCGAAGTACAATTTGTTTTTCACTTAGCGACCGAGACTTCGACCGTTTTACCTTTTTCGACGTTGAAGGCCCTTCAATGTCTTCCATTTTTTGCATAGTTTTAGAACGGTGTAGAAATATTATTATTTAATGTTTAAACACTTATTAGCACTAATATTTTCACCAATTGTTCTTACAACACGTCGATTACTTACTAACTTAACTGTAAAACTTACAATTCACACCGTATAATTCAAAACCCGATGTTACGCTCGTGGTTAGAAATACACTACTGAGAACGTCATCGACGAGATGGATTTTACGCGTAACAGACAAAGACACAAATATCGCTCCGTACACCGATGCCATTAGTTGTAACAAATACTGAACAATCCATAAAATAATTAATTTTAAATGATCAAGAAATGTATAAGTATTACTCATTACTGATTTTTGTTATAATTAATATCTTTTATTAGTACTATGATTGTATATTATCTATAATTTGCCACAACTTACAACTCTACTACTTACTCTATTTTGATTCTGCTAAAAACTAGTAAGGTAAAATTGAGATATGACAACACGGTTCACTCTCAATCATTATTTGTTTGAGTATAAATGTTATCAATACAAGTAGATGATGTCGGTGTAACTCTGGTTGGTTCCCAAATACTAACTTTCATATCATAAATGTTCAGCATGTTTTTTAACATGGTCTGGTGTTTTAAATTCGATTTACTATGCATATCTATATTAAAGTCTCCTGCAACCAGCATGTAGTTATTTCCTTGTGAGGCAATAAAAGACTATTAATAAAATTATCATTTTTAAAAATATCTGTGCATACAATGCCTTATACAAATCTTATAATTTTTAACAATACTCTAATGTGTGGTACATAATTAAACTGTTAACATTATGCAAAATAAGTTGTGAACATTATTATTAGCAAAACCTATCACAGAATTCAAAATTAATCAACAATAACCACTAAGAATATATCAGATTAAAAAAATAATCGATTTCTAGACGGTTTATAAGGACCCTGCCTTTGCTGTAGATTCAAAATCTCTTGTTGCAACCTTTCTTCTTCCTTCCTTATTCTCTCCAATTCCTCATCCAATTCTCTCATTCTCAAACTCTCTTGCTGTTTCTTTTTTACGATTTTTACTTGCATATCTTCCTCTCTACCGTGTTTTATTTTACGTTTACGTTTCTCTTCTTCTTCCTTCAATCGATTTAACTCCTCGTGATATTCTTCAATTTTTTGCGTCATTTCTTCGCGTTCGCGCAAATTCTCCTTCTGTCGTTCTATGTTTGATTCTAATTTTTCTTTTATTTGTTGCTTAAGTGTTTTGAGGACTTCGTTAATCAATTTTTCGCGTGACAATTCTTCCTGCTTCCATTGGGCCACTTGCATGTCGTACATGGCTTTAGCTTCGGAATCAAATAGAAATTCTAATCGCTTCTGTCGTTGAATTTCTAAGGCTTGTTGTTGCCTTATGATGTCTAAAAATTCTTCAACGCCTTGTTTTATCTCATTCCTTTTTGCTTCTTCTTCGATAATATCTTGTAATTGCAACTCCTTGAATTTGAGCATTAGAAGTTTGTCTTGCTCTAAATTGTCTTGAATATCTTTTGATTTTTGCTTTAATTTTCTATTATGTTGGCGAATGTTGAATAAAGCGCACTCTTTATCTCTACGACGTTGTTCTTCGGCTTTTAATTTATCTTCTAAGTCTGCTAAATATATATTTTGTTTCATTTCGATAGTTTCCTTCTCTCTTAATTCATCGCACGTTTTTTGTATCTCTTTAAATTCGGAAATTTGACCGTCAAGTGCTTGTTTAAGCTGCTGCTTATTTTCTTCGACCTTCTTCTTCAACAATTCTTCTCTCTCGTACTCCATTTGGAGTTTCCATTCGTTTTCTTTCAAAATTCTCTTGTTTTCTTCCTCTTCCTTCTCTTTCTGCATTCTTTTTTCTATTTGCTGGTCCAGCCAGCTAAGTTTTAAATCTTTGCAATGATATTTGGCCTCGCATTGTCTTATTAATGGATTGTTTCTCCTCCATTGGTCGAATAACTTTGATTCGGCTTCTCTTCGTCTTATAGTTTGTTCTTCGAGTTTTATTTGATCGTTAAATTCTTTTAAAATGTTTGTAGGAATATCATGGTTTTCTTCTGTAGAATTTCTTAATGGATACCGATTCTTTTGTACCATTAATTCTATTTCCAAGGCTCTTTTTTCTTCGTCAAAAAGTTTTCTTAATTTTTCTCTTCTTTTTTCCAATAGCTCTTCTTTGTCTCGTTTGGTTTTGATATCAAATAGCATTTTATTGTTTTCGTTATAATATCTAGGAGATGTCCATTCATCAAATTTGGCGGTTCTTCTATTCCATTGGTCGTAATATTTCGCAGTACCGTTCCATAATTCGTTATAGCGCGTTTCTTTTTCTCGTCTACGAATTATTTCTTCTTCGGCTTTAATTCGGTGTTTTCCTCTGTTTTTTGATTTCTCCATCTCTAGAACATACCAAGGATGGATGATTCAGAATAAAAGCATAATAAGTCGTGGATAAGGAAGTGCTGGAGAAAATGTGCTATTATAAATTCTTAGAAGTCTTTCATGACTTTCTATAAGCATTTCAGGAACATGAAATTATCCCATAATGACCACCCATCAATGTATACTAAATATTTGTGAGTAACTTTAAAACTTGGGCCTGTCCGTAATCCTTGACATAGAGTTATAATTCAAATCTTTGCCTGACAAGTATGGCACAAGCACACCCGATTTTTAGAGATATAAAAGATATACTGTTTATATCAGCAATAATGCAAGTAGTCTTGTAACTCTGCTTAGTATTATGAAGAATTTGATAAAAAAGTATTTTTTCAAAAAAAAAACAATTATTGCTTATAAAATATGAAAGTCAAATGATTTATAATTCATGTTTTCTACACCAAACAGAAATAAATCATGTCAAAAAGTGACATTTCCTCGAAAATTTTACAATGCCATTTTTTCATAAGGAAGGAAAGGCCCTTTTAGAAGTTATATATAATAAAAATTGTTAATTTTTAATTTATAGAAGTAATTATATTCTAGAGAAGAAATGAGTGCAGTAATATAATTTGCAGAAAGTAGTACAGGTTCAAGAGGTAGACATTTTATTCATACCTCATCCTTCAATGCTTATTTGTACTTAAAAGGAAAATTTTAATACATCTGATTGGCTTAATAAAAGTTTTTGTTTAGAGTTAATCATGTTTCCATGGTTTTTACTGTAATAAACCTTTTTTAAACCTTTTTTTGACAGATAAGTCAAACTTTATTTATTAATAGCCATATCTTATGTATTTTAATTGATTCAGAATTTTGTATTAGTACATAATTCTATAATTATATAGGAATGGCGAGTGCATTAGAAAATATTACAAGCATGAATACGCGTAAACGATCTAGTGGACATAAAGCATTATCCAGAGATAAGGGAGATATCTCTGGCATTATCTTTAGAAGAAAAAAAATATCATACTTAATATATTTAATAATCTTCGAAAAGACTTTGTTTCACTATCTGTGGATGAAATAGCCACTAAATGTGAGACCTATACTGGAGTATCTAAGTGAGCAGTGTATAACATTATTAAAGAAGATACAATTTGGAGAAGTCCCACATCTGAAAAAGTCGCCAGGAAGAAACGAGACCTTTATTTAAACTTGGGTAAAAAATTGTAATAAGGCAAATGGTACATGCTTTTTTATTTCGATATGAAATTCCTACCCTTAAAACATTACACTCAGTAATAGAAAATAGCCACACTCTTCCAAATATATCATATTTTCATCTGCAAAAAATATTACATGAATTAAATTTTCTTTACAAAAATACGTAACAGAAACAGCTTTTTTAACAGAGAAAAACGAAATTATTGCGTGAGGACATGATCATTTAAGGAAAACAGTGGAATCAGCTCAAACAGGTTTACTTAGATGAAACATGGGTTAACTGGTCATACAGTAACAAAAAATTTGGCAAGATACCTCTATCAAAACTAAAAAACAAGCCTCTATGAAAGGGGTCTCTTGTGGATTAAAACATTTTAATAAATTTAGATAGGAAAACACAAACTGACCAATGAAATTTTTAAACCTAAACTCATAAAAAGCTTGTCTAATTTTTCGGCAAATCAACCAAACACTGGTAAGCATAAAGTGTTGATTAAATTTAAAAGATCTTACCTGTATAAAAAGATTAAATTTTATAGAAATCGCCAACGCTATCACTCAACATTTCATCCCATAAACGTATTAAATTTTTCAACTTTTCCACAAATTTTCAAATTCAAACAATCACAACAAAAGAAATAGGCTCTGACAACTGACAATTGACATGAATTTTCGTCTTTTTGATATATTTATGGTTCCTTACTACTAAAGTATTTAATTTTACAATTTGTCACTATAGTAACGACGAAGAAGAAAATCAGAAACGAGTTTAATTATTTAAATAAAACGAAGATGAACTTAACCTATATAGAATAAAAAAATAAAAAAGAAGAAAAGTATAACCTACATTTTTAACCTCACATGTAGTTTTATTATTATTTTTTAGTTTAGAAATATGGGAAATAAACGAGAAATAAAAAGCAGTTTAAAAAGAAATTCAGTTGAAGAAGAAACTTATGTTAACAATGAAGTAGAATCTGATGAAGATGTATGTATTTTTATTATATTTAAAAACAAGCGTTGATAAATTTAATCTTTTTTAACACATTGAAACATTTTTAGGACGAATTATTGAATGTTATAAACGGTGAAGACGAAGACAGTTCAGACGATGAAGCAAATGATGGCTCTGAAAATGAGTTATCCAGTGAAGAGGATGCTGGAGGGGAAACAGATGAAGATTCTGATGAAAATGATGCTGATAGTGAAGAAAACGATCAAGAATCTGAAGACGATGATGAGGAAAACGATAGTGATGAAGAAAATGAAAGTGGTGAAGATGATGAAGAGAATAAAAATAGTGAAGATGATGAAGAGAATAAAAGTAGTGAAGATGATGAAGAGGCAAGCAAATTTAGTGAATGTTCAATAAAGAAAACCGAAAGTTACAATGGAGTTAAGAAACTTAAAAACAAAAATAAATTAGTTCCTAGTAAAAAATTACCAGCTGTTACAAAAAGTGATGAATATGAAGAATTTGATAGTTCAGATGAAGAAGATATAAGAAATACTGTAGGAAATATTCCAATGAATTGGTATGATGAATATAAACATCTAGGTAAGAAAATATTCCTGAATTATTCAAAATTACAGTATCTTAAAATCTGTTGTTTTTTACTTTAGGAACTAAATTGTTGTAGAGTTATTCTTCCATTTCATTTTTTCAACTATTTTGTAGGATATGACTGGGATGGCAACAAGATTATTAGACCTGAAACTGGTGACCAACTGGATGCTTTTCTTAAGAGAATGGAGGATCCAGATTTCTGGAGAACAGTTAAAGATCCACAAACTGGACAGAATGTTGTTCTAAGTGAAGAAGATATCAATTTAATCAAAAGAATAAAGGCTCAAAAAATTCCTGATGAGACATTCGATGAATATGCAGTAAGTATAATTGTATTAAAAACATATGAAATATAAATTAATATTAATTTTTTTTCTTTAAAGCCTTGGATAGAGTGGTTTACAAGTGAAGTAGAACAGATGCCTTTGAGGAAATTTCCAGAGCACAAAAGATCATTTTTGCCAAGCAAACATGAAGCAAGAAAAGTATCGAAACTGGTTCATGCTTTAAAAATGGGATGGATTAAAACTATGGCCGAAGCAGAAAAACTTCGAGCCAAAAAAGAGCCTCAATTTTACATGCTGTGGCAAACTGATGATAAAGCAGAGGAGATGAGACGCATTTATAACCATATATCAGCTCCCAAAAGGTTGTTACCAGGTTAGTTACATTGAAACCAGTTATGAGTTAATTTTATATCTATAATTTGATTAATTTTAATTTAGGCCATGCTGAAAGTTACAATCCACCTCCCGAATATCTGTTTGATGAAAAAGAACTTAAACAATGGAACAAATTGAAAAATGCACCTTGGAAACGAAAGTTGCACTTTATCCCTGAAAAATATGATTCTCTTAGAAAGGTCCCAGCTTATCCTAGATTCATTAAGGAAAGATTTTTGAGATGTTTAGATCTCTATTTATGTCCGAGAGCTATAAAAATGAAATTAAATATTGAACCTGAATCTTTGGTACCGAAATTACCCAGTCCCAAGGATTTGCAGCCATTTCCAACTGTTTTGGCTATTGAATATAAAGGTAAAATGTTAAAAAAAATTGTGTTTTGAATATATAATTTTTATAAATGATTATTTAATACAGGTCACACTGATATGGTCAGATCTATAAGTACAGACAAGACTGGTCAGTACTTGCTAAGTGGGTCGGATGATTGCACTATAAAGATTTGGGAAGTCAATACTGGTAGGTGTTTGAAGACTATAAAAACAGACAGCGTTGTAAGATCAGTTGAATGGTGTCCTAATGCAGCCCTGTCACTCGTTTTGGTAGCCTCTGGACAAGAAGTAATGCTCATTAATCCTAATGTTGGTAAGTTACTTTTATCATCTCTATTATTATTCAATATCAATATATATGTTTATTGTCAAAGCTACAAGAACTTGTAGACAAACACTTATAAATATAATTATTATGTAGTACTAACAATTACATGCATAAAAATTTAAAAATTGTATAAAAACGTTAAATATAAAATTAGAGGTTAATTACAAATACGTAACACAACATCGATGAAATTATATAAATACAAAAACATGTACGTTCAAACAGTCACAACGATTTAAGAGTCATTGTAAAATTCCGTCAAAGCATAATATGCTTTTGTCATCAACATATCTCTAAGCAGTATTTTAAATGTTGTGACCGTTTCCGTCGATTTAATATCATTTGGCAACTTATTGTACATTTTAATCCCATTATAAATGAAAGAGCCCCTTACCAGTTCAGATTTGGGTATGGACAACCACAGGTTGTCAACTTGTCGCGTTAGTATTGGCATAGTTCGATTTATTTTTATGTATAATACAAGTGGTTTCAAGAATGAACAACGATGTTAATGTTAAAATTTCATGTCTAATAAAATGTGGCTGACATGACTCAAGCTTGTTCATTCCACATAAAAATCGTATTGCTCTCTTTTGCAGACAAAAAACAGTATTGAATAATTCGCGGCTGCAACCTCCCCAAAATGCAATTCCATATCTCAAATGGGACTCAACTAGAGCGTAATACACACTTTTTGCTGCCTTAAAACCTAGTTCTTTTGCCACAGTTCTGACTGCAAAACATCCAGAAGAAAGTTTTCTATTTAGCAATTCTATATGGTTTCTAAATTTCAAATTATTATCTAAATTAATTCCCAGAAATTTTATTGTGTCAGTACATTCAATAATAGCATTTTAGTTTTTCCCATATTAAGACTCAAATAGTTGGCATCGCACCATGCTTTGATTTTCTTAATCGTATATGGTGTTGTATAGGACAGAAGTGGCATTGCTGTGCCATAAAATCGTAGTATCATCTGCAAATAGAATGAAAGTACCTGCAATTTCAAGTTGAGCTAAGTCATTCACATAAAGGAGAAATAAAATGGGACCTAGCACAGAACCCTGAGGGACACCCCAACTAATATCTAAATCTTGAGAATCTTGAGACGCTCTTACCATTTGCTTACGTTCTGAAAGATAAGATTTTACCCAACTCAGCGCTCCGTTTTTGATCCCGTAAACTCGAAGTTTATCCAACAGTACTGTATGATTGACGCAATCGAACGCCTTAGTTAAATCATAGAATATCGCCGCTACAGAATCGTCAACATTAATTCTAGAATAAGCATGTTCAAGACAAGAAAATATCGCCTCAGAAGTACTTTTGTTCCTTTGAAAACCAAATGTTGTGTTTCCAGCAATTTGTGAGTTTCTAGATAATGAATCAAACGTTTTTTTACAACTTTTTCAATAATTTTGGCCACTGTAGGAATGAGAGATATAGGCCTGAAGTTCGAAGGATCGTAGTTACTGCCGCCTTTATGTATGGGAACAATAACACTGGTCTTAAGAAATGACGGAAAATTTGAATCGACGAAACTTTGGTTGATCAGACTAGCAAGGACTAACATTGCTGATTCAGGAAGGTTTAGGATAACTCTAATAGAAATATCATCATAACCAGCAGCATTTTTGTTTTTAATATCTGAATATATTTCCATTATTTCAAAACATGTTGTAAAACTTAGAGTAAAGTTGGAGTTAACATGGATATTTTTTAAATAATCTAAAGGATCAACTGACGATCTGAAATTATTAGTCAGATTTTCAGCAATTGAGCAATAATACTGATTAAATATTTCTGAATCGATGTAGTTCTTAACGGATTTGGAATTTTGTTTATTTTTCAATTCATTAATAATATTCCAAGTTTCTTTAACTTTATTATTAGATTTTTCAATTCTAGAATAATAGTATATGTCCTTAGCTTTTTTAATAACAGCCCTATATATTTTCCTGTAATGGAGGTAATAGATTAAAAAGAATTCATCTTGGACATATTTTTTAATGTAATGGAGGGATCGCATATTTTTTGCTGAACACCTTATGCCTGAGGTCATCCAAGGTTTTTTATTTTTTATATTAATTTTTCTAATGGGAAAACTGGATTCAAAAAATTTGCACAAATTATGGTAAAATGCTTTAAATGGATCATCAGACAACATGCAGCTATGCCAATTAAAATTATGACTGCTTAATCTAAATTTATCATAATTAGGTTTGCTAAACATACGACCATATCTGAATTTCATTTTCCTAAGCTTCGTATCGAGAGGCGTTGAGCACAAAACAATCTCATGATCAGATAACGAGATGGAATGGACTGAACACAGAATATTACTGTCCAGAAAAGAGGAGCAAAAATAGTCAATCAACGTTTCACTGTTATTAGTGATTCGAGTAGGATCTTTGACATGCATATTTAGATTAAAAGATAATAAAAGATGAGAAAGATTTATTATATTATTATCATTTTGAACACGAAAATCCACGTTAAAGTCTCCGGTCAAAATCATTTTAGATGAACTTGGTATCTTAGATAATAAGCATTCCAATTTATTCAAAAATATTGGAATACTGGTGCTTGGAGATCTGTAAATACAAATTATGAAGATATTTAACTTTTTAATATTAATAATGGAAAACTCGAATTGTTTCTCCTCAGCTAAATCTTGGATTTTACTTCGTTAAACTCCAAACTGTGAAAGAGGGAGTCGTGTATTAATACTGCCGTTCCTCCGTGTTCAAACATCTCTCTGTAAAATATACTAACCAAATTATACTCTGGTATGCACAGATGTTCATGTTTTTCTAGCCAGTGTTCTGTGAGCAAAAGAACTAGCGGAAAATGAAACTGTTCCATTAACATAAATAACTCATCTATCTTGTTACGGACCGACCGAATATTTAATAGTAAAAATGTTAAGGACTTTTCTGAGTTGGCGAGTTGACTGTTTCTAAAAAAGGGGAATTTTGACTATTATTTAATTCAACAACTCCGCCAGCCATACTTTCTTTGTTATTGCTATCTAACTGAGCATCTTCATCGCACCTATTTTTAGAGTCAATTTTTTCAGTTATATTAGAATGATAATTTAATTGAATTTTTTATGGATAAAATAGGTGCGTTGACTATTTGGCTGTTAGTTTGATCATTAGTTTGATCATTAGTTTGATACAGCGCATGGTCATGTTGGAAGTCGAGGCTGTTTTCCGAATTTAAGTCGGCGTTTCTTATAATAGGTTTATGAAAATATGACAAATACTGATCACATATATGTTTAACTAGCAATCTTTTGCTATGAAAAGGAATGCCACCAAAAGGAATTTTGTCACTCTTTTTTACAAAATTATCAGAAGGGACAAACGAGCATGTTTTTTTGTTGAGTTTGTGTATTGTTTTGTGAAGATTTAAGTTTAATTCATAAATAAATTTATTAAGCACGCTTCTATTATGAACATACGCTGGACCTACAATTATTAAATTAGAGTACTCCGCTACACTTAATAATTCATTAACAATTGGTAGTTTACATTTAAAGCTATCAGTATTTCCGATAAGAGTGACGATACAGTCAGACATGGTAAAATGTTTACTTAATATTTTTACAGTTTTTGTTATATCTTCGACTGACATATTCTTACGGTACTGAAAATTGATGTCATATTTGGCTCCCAACACTCGCTTAAAGAGTAAGCCACAACTTTTAGTGCAATATTGATCGCCAACTATAAGAAGCTGAGGTTTTTTCTGATTGTTATCTGAATATGTTTTAACACTGTTCATGTCATTACTTTTAGAAACATTACTTTTGTAGTGGTCTAATTCAACTCTTAATAGTTTTACTTCACTTATGAATCCAGTGTTTTCTGTTTCGAGGGTGGAGATAGTAGATACCATATTCCTACTTATCAAGTTTAGATCTTCAATATCTTTCACGAGTTTACTACTGGTCGTCTTCTCATCTTCAATTTGATTTTGCAATGTTTGAATTTTATTCTTTAAATCGGAAATTTCATTATTTCTAAGCTGAGTCAAGTCCTTAGCTTCTTGATATTTATCCACATACATCTGTTCTGTGTAAAATACTTCATCTTCGAAATCACGCGTGTGTCTTTGCAATCTTTTTATCGGTCATCAGCATCTTTTTGAGATTGGATATTTCTTTGTTTAAGTCTTCAATTTTAGTTTCTTCTTCAAGTGCTTTATCTTGGCATTCAGTTGAACAATATATTTTGTGAGTACCTAGTCTCACCACATTTTTTCTCCTTTTTAAACAGCTTGAGTGAAACACATCATGACAGATAATACAGAAAAAATTTGAAAGTGTTTTATTTTTACAGCAAGTAAATATTGGTATCATTTTTCTTAATTAATCTTTTTTAAATCTTTTTTAAATATGGATAAAATCTCCGTCCAAATATAGATGAACTATCAATTAATTTTTACCAATGTGCAGTTGGTCAAATAGCCACTGCCATTTAAGGTTTATTCATAAAGCTCATTAATAAATATTAGAGATAAGATGACCACTTTTGTTGTTTTTCTTTTTATATTTTAGTGGAATGTTAATAAATTTGCTTGCACTTACATTGAAAAATCACAATTGCATTACGGTATTTCGCATTATTAATAGGTATTTTCCTTTGCATCGTAAGTGTAGCACTGAGCAACACCACTTCTGAAAATATCATTCCATTTATACAAATTGTATGGATGGAACGATATTTTCAGAAGTGGCGTAGCTCAGTGCTACACTTTCGATGCAAAGGAAAAGACCTATTATGTGTTGTTACTACATCACTTTCCGTACTTTCCACTCATATAAAATTTAACTTTTTCTCGTAATTATAACATTAAATATGTACAATAGGCGTGTTCTTTTATTCAGCGCTTTATCCAGCGCTTGCAGCAAACCGTGATTATTATTATTAATGAAAAATATTAGTTAGCAGATCTTAAATTGAATATCTAATTCATAAAATCTTTAAAGAAAATTGATTTTAAAGTCAAACAAACAAGTTAGATGTTATAAGATTAAATGTTCAAATGTTCCACTTATTGTTGAGTTTTAGAACTAAGTGAGACTTTTATTCCTCATTACAGGTGACTTCTTAGTAAACAGCAAAACGGACGCGGTTCTACAAGAAGTTCCGAAATCAGACGTGGTCGTTCCAGACAGAGTCCGTACGACCATCCAGTGGAGCGAACCCGATTCAGAACAACACCAACGAGGCGTCCGATTGATTTTGAAGCACTTTAAAGATGTATCCCAAGTCACATGGCACGGTAAAGGCGACTATTTCGCTACAGTGATGCCGGATGGTCAGAATCGTTCGGTGCTGATTTCCCAAATATCCAGAAGAAGATCGCAGTTGCCATTTACTAAATCAAAGGGATTGGTTCAATACGTATTGTTTCATCCTACGAAACCATTTCTGTTTGTAGCTACGCAACGGCATGTCAGGATCTACGATTTAGTGAAGCAAACTCTACTGAAGAAACTTTTAACGAATTCTAAATGGATTTCATGCATGGCGATTCATCCTTTAGGCGACAATTTATTAGTTGGAACCTACGATAGAAAGATGTTGTGGTTCGATTTGGATTTGAGCACGAAACCGTATCAAACGTTACGTTTGCATGGTACGGCCGTGAGAGGAGTCGCTTTTCATAAGCATTATCCCTTATTCGCTTCTGGTTCAGATGACAGGAGTTTGATAGTTTCGCATGGGATGGTTTACAACGATTTGTTGCAGAATCCTTTGATTGTGCCGTTGAAAAGGTTGCAAGATCACGAGGCTTTTAATGATTTTGGAATATTCGGCGTTGTGTTTCATCCGCTGCAACCGTGGGTGTTTTCTTCTGGTGCCGATGGGACTATAAAGTTGTATAATAATTAAGATTGTTTTTATAATGGAAATAAATTAATTTTAAACGAAGTTTTATTTTAAAATATATTGTAATGGTAAAGGAAAAAAGGGAATTTAATTTGAATTAGAAAGAAATTTAGTGACAGGTCTGCTAACTTAAAATTATTGTAAAAGTTCAAAATTAATAAAACTGATAACCAATATTTTGATAAAATACTATCTATAGTCAAAATCTTATCTTAAAAGGTTTTATAAAAACGTTTAAAAAAAAATTCACACAAAATTTTGTATAATTAATTTATTTTTAAGTAATTTAATTCCAAAGGTTTCTATTGGATAAGCAATTTCTTGGAGACATTATAAAAATTTAAATATCGTTATTATGTCCAAAAAAATGGTTGAAGTCGATAGTGTGATCCTGAAAATGAAAAGAGTAGTAGATCCACAAAAAATCAATTTGTTATAGTCAATTGAATTTAAAAATAAATAGTAACTACTTAATAAAACGTCGAGTTCTTAACTCCATATGTCAAAAGGACCTACATCTATATCTTCGTTGCAATGGAACTTAGATCCTTTTGGAATTGCCACTAGGCATAATTTTTTCCTCAACGTTAATTTATGTTACGTCTCTTTCACAATCCCGTTTTTTTATTTTTCGTTTGAATTGGACCAATAAAAACGAAGATACAGAGTAGGTCTTTTTGGCATTGCACATGATTTTTTCTTTGACATTAATCTTCGTTATGTGGTAAATGATGACCGCCATTTTGGATCGCTTAGCCGAGTCGCAAACTACTTATCCAATTTTCGATTTCCAACACTGGCTGTTGGGCCATCTAGCGGTGAATTTTGAAAGTAACATCCCCATGGCACTCTTGTGTATATAATCATCTGTGCACAGTGGACACACTATATTGTTCTTATGAAGACTAGAGATAAGGAGGCGAATCCGGCATACTCAAAATACGGTCACAAAAATCACACGTCAATTAAGCTTTTATAAAAAATCGCATGGGCGCTGGTACGGCTTACGTAGTTCAAAATACAAGGCTTCTTATGGGAATTATACATAAGTTTGTCAAAATAATAAAAATAAACTTGTTTATAGCTAAATAAAGCACAGAATATACTGTTGTATTTATTTCTAAATAAGTCTTACACATTTTAATTGATACATTATTTACTATTTATTCCTATTTAAGTAAAATGCAAATTATTGATGATAAGTGTTGAAATTTGATGGGTAGGGCTATTTTTTTTTTAATTAAAGCTAAATAGGGCTGAGGGCATACTAAGACACGGTTTAAATGAAAATATTTAGTTAGGGATTTTACAAAATTTTATGAAAATAATAAAAATTAAATTGTTCATTGCTAACTAAAGCACAGAAAATACTGTTGATTTTAATTATTGTAAATAAGTCTTTGTTTTAATTGCTAACTAAAGTACAGAAAATACTGTTGGTATTAATTATAAATGAGTCTTTATGTTCAGTGGCGCACCCAAGGGGGGGGGGGGGGGGGGTTAGAACCCCCCCCCCCCCCCCCCCGAAATTTAGCACTGATATAATGAATTTTATATGAATATTATACTGTATGTTCTTCCGCTCTTAATAATACCTTGTTATATAAATTTAAATCATAGTTTAAAATAAAAAATTATATTACTTTTGATTTTTTCTTTGTTTATTAATTGTGTAAACTTCATTATTTATTGTTATCAAGATTAATATTCAATATACAATTTTTTGTTAGTAAAATACCATTTTTTTGAGTGTCGGATCATATATTTTTTGGTTCATCTGGCAACACTGACTCCAAGTAGTCATGTGATGATTGTGAGCAAGTTGCTATCGTTATGTACTCTGTGTTATCGTCTTAAAAAAACTCAAAACTTGGAAGAGATCTTTTTGTCACTCGTGCGTCATAAATTAAAAAACAAATAGCAAGTGTGTGTTAGTTTTATTCTTTACCTACTTAATATAGTTAGAGTATAAAAGCTACAATAATAAAATTGCTGAACTTCAAAGCAAAGTAATGTTGATACGGAAAGTACCGAAGATTATTACCGGATTGCAATATATATTCCATTTTTGGACCATTTTATAAGTAACATAAAAGAAAGATTTTCAAAACATAAGCAAATATTGGCCCGATTTCAAAGCCTGTTTCCCAAAGATCCGTCCATTCTCACCGACGAAACGATAACTGAATTCCAAACGTTGGTATTATTTTATAAACATGACCTGACAGGAACCAAAGATGAGCTAGTTGTTGAACTTAGACTTTGGTACAGAACAATTGCTAGACTGCCAAATGAAAAGCGGCCCAGAGATGCCTTAAGCGCATTACAACACGTTATTGGGTTCTATGATTGAACGTTTACGTTATCGGTAACGTACATGTTAGGCCGAGTTTTAACATTAACGAGGCAAGTTCGTATGATGGAAAACTTTTTCCAACACATTACTGTTATTTTCCGCTTATTATGTTCTAATTTAACAGTTTTCCATCACACAAACTTGCCTCGTTAATGTTAAAACTCGGCCTAACATGTACGTTACAAATAACGTAAACGTTCAATCATAGCACCCACTGACACCTTTACAAATATCAGGACATTAATCCATATATTAGCTATACTGCCTGTCTCTACTGCTGAAGGTGAACGTAGTTTTTCAACTCTGCGACGACTCAAAAGTTATTTGAGAAACAGTACCTCGGAAAACCGGTTAAATTGCCTGACTCTTTTGCATATTTATAGAAATATGACTCCGTCTGTAGAAAATATTTTAAATAGGTTCGCCGAGAAGCCTAGAAAATTAAAACTCAGCTTGGCTTAATAGGGCTTTTTTGTTGCCAATATAGCTTTGAATGTTTTTTCCTTCAAATTTTATTTTCCCAATCCAAATAAATGTATGTAGTATGTTCCTTTCGTTTTCATTAATAAAAATAACAAAAAAACTTGTGAAATCTGCTTTTTCGTTGGTTTTCTGTGTTCAGCCTTCATCATCATGAAACCCCCCCCCCCCCCCCCCCCCCCAAACAAAAATCCTGGGTGCGCCACTGTTTGTGTTAAACATTATTTACTATTCAATATTTAATTTTATCTAAATAAATTGAAAATTAGGTATGACCAAATTTGAAAAGGTTTGTTAAATGGGCAATAGGTTCCAGTATTTCTTCCTTTTTTTATTCTAACAAATTCGGTTCGGTTCAATGGTGGTTTTCGTCTTTTCCTAATACTGGACAAGTATGAAGGGAGATTCGGGAATATACATGGTATTGCTTCGTTCTTTAATCTAGGCCTTTCCCTTTTTATTTTGTTAACAGTACTATTAGTTAAAATAGTCTCATCAAATTTTAAAATATCATCTTCTAAAAAGTGTAGCTCGCAAACAGAATCATAACTAGACAGTACTTTATCAGCCCTAGGAATCACATGCTACCATATTTGTAAACGTTTAGGATCCTATAAAAAATATTTGCAATGACTAAATTGGAGATCAATAAAGAAATAAATAACAGTAGTAACTCTTCATCTAACATAAAAACAAAAAAAGCAAATTTTCTTTTCTAGTAAGTTAAATTTAATGTGTAATTATTGTTGTTTGTACTTTATTATTTTTTATTATAGAATTTTGTAATTAATAAACTACACTCCATAAGATACGGGTTGTGACTATTTTACAATAAATATATATTATTTAGAAATAAATACATTATTTTACTTACACTAGGAGCTTTAAAAAGACTTGGATTTTTATCTCCTTGTGTTTTTAATTTTATATCGGATTTATATCCCGTTTTTCAACCCGGAACGAAGCAAATCCAGCTTTGCCGTTTTTTGTTACTCATTGTTACTTGTAGTCAGGTTCTTTATTTCAGCTTATTTTTATTCTTTTCACTAAATTTTACAAAAATCACTTTAATTCCCATTGACTTGCATAGAAAATAGACGTCGTTCGCCTCCTTATCTCTAGTCTTCACAATTGTTCTTTATGTAATGTAATATTGAGAGATTAATTAACCTTGTGAAATTGAGGTTATAGAAAAACCTCAAGGAAACATAGAAATTTCAATTAAAATAAAAAAAAGTATAAATTTATTATTAAAATTTTTCTGAAATCGAGTATTAATATCACAAAAGTAGAGGTAGGTAATTAATATAAGACAGGTGTATATCACAAAGTAAAGCAATTACACATGTGCGATACTATATAAGCTACCTATAAAACACTAATCGATTGCACAAAAGAAGGTATATAAGGGATACCTTAAAGGTTCACTAGAATCCAAAATTAAAGTTGCTAAAGAGTACCTATAACACGAGTAAGATACCTTTATCTCAAAGGTTTACTAGAAGATAAAACGGTGAACCATTGTACAAAAGTAAGTATATTTTAAAGGTTCACTAGATTTTTATCAAAATAGCAGGTGTAGATTAGATTTAAAAGGAGTTGGACATTATTTGTCCCTACCCTCCTCGAACTTTTCAGATCTATTGTGGATAATAGTGATGGACGATATCGTGATTTTTTAATCACGTTGTGAATCGTTACTGTTACTTTTTGATATCAGTGATTGAAAAGCGTGACGTGATCACGACCTCTAAATTTCGCGCGTTCGATAACAAGTCTTGTTGTCAAGATAGATAGATACCAAATAAATAAATATATGAAAGAAAAATAACCATAATGATATCCTTCCGTGATTTAGTATAGCCAAATGAAGGACAATAAGGCACACTGTCGTATGCCACGCGTGTTATTACAATTGAGATTTGCAAAAATCGACCTTATTAGCATACGTTTGTCAATAAGTCACGGAGTCGTCTGCTACCTATCATATTTTAAATGATTTGAAGCGAAAATCGACTTAATGACGTGACTGAAGGTAATACCGGTATTGCAAAAGCCTAAAAGGTTTGAGTACGAAATAAGAAACAAATACTGTGTAGTGTGAGCATGATCACTTCACGACTTTTTTCACAAGTTGGTAACGGGAACGACTTGATATTTGTTGGCATCAGTGATTAAATCACAGTTCGTGAAATATCGCTCATCACTAGTGGATAATTACATTACATTACTTTAAAAATAATTACAATTAGAAAGTGCTTTTTCGAAAAAGGAAATAATTATAAGTACAAAGTATTTGTTGTAAAAATAAAAATTATATTGATTTAATTATAATTATACGAAAAAATGAATTATCAATTACTTTTCTAATTGGTTTGGGAATAAAACAACAAATTATGATAGAATTGAGGAATCATGAACCAACCGGACCAAAATACGAACAGCCGTTTGCAGCGACTTTCTTAAGGGTTCCTTAAAGTTAAAGATATCTTAAGGGCGGGTTGTATAAAGCTTACTTAAAGTTAAACTCAGCTTGAGATGATACATGACAAATTGTGTATGGCGTAGGTACAGTCTAAACACCATTTAGCACTTAGGGCTTGTTTCCCCAAACATTAGACTGCACCTATAGAAATTAA